TCCGTGCAGCTTACAAATGGTAAAAAGATAAATATTGTCAGATCCATGTATCTGCCATTTTTTGATGGAAGAAAGTGGGTGTTGGATATAGAATAGAATTCTTTCTTTTTTGGCCAAGTGTGATTGGACACACAAGGAATTTGTCTTGGTGCAAATGCTCTCAGTATACATAAAAGAAAAGATACATTCGTCGATGATATGATACATTTAATCATTTTCCTCTCTATGCATCCTAAATATCCTATTTCTTACATTGGCTCTGTATAATCTTTTACACGATTTATAAGCGTTGCCTGGCGCCCCAAATGTCTGGAAAAATCTCACCTCTTCGAGGGATTATAAGGGGAGAAGGGGCCATGTGAATTGCAGCTCTGGAAAATAACTCCTGGGAACCTTATCTGCTTTCTCAGATGGTGGGAAAATAACATGTTCACACCTGCAAATTGGTGGAATCCACATTGGACTGCGAGGAGGGGTTCTAATTCCCTTTATCTTACTTGCATGCCCCGAGGGACCCCAGACCTGCTTTGAATTTTGACCGGCTTTACCCCTCTTCAGTAAAAGATTCCTTTTAAAGTAAAAGTTTCCAAGAGTGAAAGAGGGGGGATAGAGGCTGGTCCTTACAAATATAAAGGCAATTAAAATTAGAAAGAATTATATAAAGATTATATAAAGGGGACAGTATTGTGGAAGTGATGTCTTCCAATTTGTCAATTTTGATGAGTTTTACAGACAACTCGATAAAACAGTTTCTTTTAATGTGGAAGCGAGTATAGGAAATAAAAAAAAGCATTTAAATGTAGTGTTGCAATTTAAAAAGCATTTCTGCCTCATATGTTGTAATACTCACTAGAGATTTATTATAGTTACAGAACCTTTGTACACTAAGACTTCAGTCCAAATAATGCTCTGTTCCATCTGCTGTAATCTCTAAACTACACAGTGTGATCTTCCTTGGATTTTGAGTTGTTATTTGCTAATGCAATTGGTCTTTGCTAGGACAGCCATATGATATACCTGAAATCAGACAAGGGTTGCGCTGTTATATTTAAATGTTCCCAAAATTTTATTTTGAACAAACACCCTTCCCCCTCCTTTTCTCCCTCCTTCCCTCCCTCCTGTCATGATAATAAATAAGCATTGTAAGCATATAATATAGGTTTTCATATATCCACTGCTTCTCTCTCTCCTCCTCTCCGTCTCCTTCCATCTCTCTCTTTCTTTCTTTCTCTCTCTCTCTCTCTCTTCTGCACCAAGCTCTAGAATAATTCTTCTAAGGACTGGCTTTAGTAATTTACACTTATTGTGGAGAACTTTTTGAAATTTATCTTAAATACTAGTTTTCAAAGTTACATAATTTATTTTTCTTCTTTTAACAAGATTGATACGTGATTTCTATAATTTTAATAATAATAAAAAAACCCACAGAAGCATGCATGATTTAAAAAATATTTTAACTTGGCAGTATTTCACTTCTTTGTGCAAATATTTTAGTGGCAATATATTCTCCATTTCATTTTAAGATTTAATTGGTGTTATTAACAAAAGGTGGTTATGATTCAGTTTGGCTCAATGCTTTAATGCTCAATTAAAGTTTGAGAATATTCTTAAATTTAACATTTTAATATGTTAAGGAACATATTAGCTATCTGAGTGTTCTTCCCTCAGGAGAGTCAAATTGCTAGGTTTATGTGAATAGAAGATTGTTTTTGTATTAATGGAAACTTATTTTCAGTTGGCTTACTGATGTGATTTTTCCTTATTCAATGTAAGGAAGAATAATAGAAACCAGTTTCCACTCTGCTAAATTAAGAGTGAACAGAACATTTTGAACCATGCTGCTTCCAAATGATATTGAGAAGGACTGGTGGATGCAAGATGTTTTTGTCTGAGTGTAATCTCAGCTTGAACCCAGTTGTGTTTGCATGTTTTGGTTTCTTGATGTAATTGATCCAAGGGCTGGCATGGTCATAAAAAAAGAGCCAGACACCAATCTGGCCAATTAAAAATGTATTTCTTTTGAATTCAAATTTTATTTTATTCAAGATTAAAATATAAAATTCCAAAAAAGTAAAGGGAAAAAAACCCAATTCCCCCCCCCCAAAAAAAACACAAAACAAGCAAGATACTAACTTGTCATCCATATACAATATTAATGACAAAATAATAGGAAGAAAAACAAGATTAGTGTTTTAAAACCCTCTGTTAACAAACTACGATTGTGAACAACCCATAGAAAAATTTCTATGACATTTATTTATCCAAACCATCCCAAAGGGTAACAGTAATTGTCCTGAATCAAATATATTTATGTTTGTTTCTTAATGCCATTTCTTATCAATTGTTGTTTGATTAAATATAGTAAGTATAATATCCAAAGTCAGTCTGTCTTCCCAACAAAGTTCAGAAAACATTAATTCCCGATTAAGTGTGATAAATCCATTTCCCCCATCTCCTTCAGGCTTCCTGTTATTGTGAAAAATGCAGGCTTGAATTTCAAAGAGGTGTATGCTATCAGCTCGTTTCATTCTACGTATATATAGTCCCAGGTTCTTTTCAATGAATTAATTGGTTTCAGATCACATTCCTTTTGTGAATATTTTGCATAGCCATTATCATTTCATCAAACTATTTGAAGAAGCTTTCAGCTGGAAATTGCATGTTATCAAGCAATCATTTTGGCCAGCCCTGTTTGTTGTAATCTGATCCATTGTTACTCTGTATAAGATAGTCAGGAAACAAAGAATGTTGAAGCAAAGTGAAAAAATAAATTAAAGGGACAGGGAGAATATTTTATGGATATGTCAATCCAAAGTTAAAAAATAAAATAAAAAAGAAGCTCCAAATATTTTTCATGTTAACAAAATACAAAGACCCTGAGGTAAAAATCTAATCAAATAAAAGAATTTCACTGTCTAAGAACATCCATCTTTCCATATAGAAAATCAAAAGTTATTCAAAACAACAACATAAATCAAAAGGGGGAAAAAACATAAAATCCAGCAAGGGGCTAAACAGCTGGTCACCATAAAATCCAGCAAGGGGGCTAAACAGATGGTCACCTTTTAAAGACAAAAAGAAAAGTAAAGCATAAATTCAAAAAGTTAAAAGTTAAAGCCCAGGTATGTTTAGAAAATGAAATTCTGAGCAAATATCATTGATTGGCAGAATTGCCACAATAAAAATGAACATACTATCAAAATTCTTATACTTGTTTCAGACAATTCCCATAAAACTGGACCGATAATTCTTTGAAGACTTGAATAGAATGGTGCTTAAATTTATTTGGTTAGGAAAGAAAGCATGTATTAAAAGAAAATGAAATTCTGAAAGGAAGATAGATGCTGTGACTTTCCAACCACTCCCAAAGAATCTTCAAGATTCCCCAGATGGATCCATGGCTATCTAAAAGTTGTCTCGATTATTCCTAAGTGCTCCCATTCAAATTCAGAGAGGAGCATTGCCAGAGAATCAGCTCTGGCAGCAAAATCAGCAGATTGTTGACAGGAAAGGGAAAACTTCCTACCGTTCAGTAATCATCTTGGTGTGGGGAGGTGTAAATTAAAATCTCTCTTGATTCTTCTTGTTACTTTTTATATTTCTATTTTAAAATTTAATAAAATTACTATTAAAAATAATTTGAGAAACTCCCCCCCTTTCCCCCTCCAAATATTGACCCCAACCAGGAGAACCAATTTGATGAAAAGAAGGAAAATAGCAATATTTGAGTGGCTGCCACAAGGAAGATGGGGTCGACCTATTCTGCAAAGTACCTGAAGGTAGAACAAGAAGCAATGGATGGAAACTAATGATGGAGAGAACCAACATGGAACTAACGAGAAAACTTTTGATAATATGTTTGACTTTGCAAAATAGTACTATGTGACATTTAGATTTTTGCGGCCTGGCCTGGCTTCTCAGGTTTGGCCTCGAAAGGAAACTGTGTAGACCAACAGCATTGGTCTGCACAGTATCTGCAGCAACTTGGGGGGGGGGGTTGGTGTTCCCCCTCCCTTCCCCCATGACATCTATATATCAGGATGGACTAATCCAGGGATAGGATGCAAATATTTTTACTACTGGTTCTGTGGGCGTGGCTAGGTAGGCGTGGGCATTTGACTGGGTGTGCCTGGCTTCTTTTTTGCTCCCAGGAGGCTTCCCTGAGGCCCAGGAGGTAAAAAAAAAATGGACCGTGGGGAGTGTGTGTGCTACGCGGCCCCTCCGCACTCTGTCTTTTTTTGCCTCTTGGGCCTCAGGGAAGCCTTCTGGGTGAAGCAGTAAGACAGTGAGGGGGATCCTGACACCGCTGATTGTCAGATCCTGACGCCGCTGATTCCTCCATCATCAGGAGGAAAAAGAAAGAAAGAAACACTGGTTCGACTGAACCGGTAGAATACACCACTGGACTAATCACTAATAGATCTATTGTCTCAATATTGTCCCATAACAACCTTTCCTAGTTGCCGTCTTGAAACATCAGCACTCATGACACCACTAGATAATCAACATTCTTCGTATATCTTTGGTGTTCATTTCAAATGATTATTTTAGAAATCTGATTAAGATAATCTTTTTATTTAATCATTTTCTAAATTATTTTTCATCTACTACATGAGATTGTGTGGAGTAACATAAAACAAATAGGGTCCTTTCAACTGCATAAGAGATGAAGATAAAATTTTGGTTTAAGGAAAGAGAGGCAATTTTTATCTTTTCCTTTTTCTCAAAAGGAAACTTTTTATGAAGCAGTCAACTGGCAGAGACAAAAATAATGAATTGAAAGCATTCCTCTCCTTTCTTCCTGGCCCATTATGTGCTTTACTCCAATGTCTAGTAAACTTTCTGATAATATAAAAAGACATGAATAGCTACTAAAGAACTAATGAGTTGGAACTCAGCCTACATATTTGGTATCACTTTATTATATTTTTGCATTCAACATTTCTTAAAGTTATTTGTCAGTTCTGAAGTCTATATCATATTTATATTTTGTCTTTCAGATTATGACACAGATGCAAGGCTTCGGGAGAAAGTATATTAAAGGCTTTTTGAAAGGTTTTTTTGTTGCTGTTCCTGTGACTGTCACTTTCCTCGACAGAGTGGCTTGTATAGCAAGAGTAGAAGGGACATCAATGCAGGTAACTTTAGGTATAATGGCCTCAATCCAATTTAAAAGCCAAAGTAAAAATGTAATTGTTGGTACTAGAAAGATAAACTGTATAGCAAAGGCCCTGATCATTCTGACTGCTTCCTATGTCTAATTGCAGTTGGATCTTGCCACTGAGAGTAATGTAGGGATTCTAGCAAAACGGTGTTTTTGAAAACTATCCAAACCTTAAAGTTGTTCCTGCTCAGGCCAAGGAAAGCTGTCTATCGAACCAAAGGCTGAGCTAAAACTGGGGGACACTAGGGAGGAGTCAGGGAGGAGTAAGAGGGTCTTAACAATTAAGCCTAGCCTATCCGAGCAGAGACTAAGCACCTCCCACCCTCTGGATGCTCGGAGCAGCTCAATGAAGAAATCTCCGATTGAACTCTTCCAAATGGGAAGCAAGCATCTTCAGCACTAGGTCTCCATACTGTTCAATTGCACTCATACATTAAGGCATTATGGTGACTTTAATCTGAAGATTAATCTGAAGAAACTTAAGGAGAGAAACTTAGGTTCATTGAAATTCTCAAGTTCTGTTTGTCTTCTTAAGAATGCTGATCTGGTCAGTTATTTGTTTTTGTAAGGGATGCTCTGATACATTTCTAGGTACAGGTCAATTCATTGGATATTGCATATTTAAGATACAGGTTGTTATTGATTTATGATTGTAATTGAACCTGCAATTTTTGTTGTATGTTATGACAGCTATTAAGGATGTCATCATGTGACCATATCCAATTTTATATATTTTTGGCAGTGGTTATTAAGCAAACACAGTAGTCCTAAAATAAAATAACATGATTGTAAAACAAATGCCATGGTTGTTAAGTGAATGCTATGGTTTATAAGCAAACTTGTTTTTTTAAAAATAAACTTTTATTTGGGTTTTCACAAAACAAAAGAAAAATAGAACATCTTTTTTTTTTTAAGCAAACAGCATGGTTCCAGGTTTTTACATCTCCATACAGATATAATCTCAGTTACATATTCATCTTTCATATTCAATTTCATATCTTATCACTATATATTCTCTATTGATTTTTTCTCAAATACTTCCCTCAGGTTTATTTTATAGCTTTCTCACTCATTTCTAAGTCTATTTCATTTCCTTTTCAAAATTTTCATATCTTCATAATAATTATACTTATACTTTTATCTGTCCTGTTTACAATTTCATTACATATTCTTATTTCATCATTTCCCAAAAAATTCCTCCACATTTCAAACATTACAAAACAAGGTTTCCCTTATGGTTGCCAATTATAGTGTATTGATATCTTCTAATTAGTTCCCTTTCAAATCCCATTAAATATTCAGTTTTTAAATTGTCCCCTTAAACAGTTATAACATTCCGCTCCTAATAACTATATTATAACATATATCCCTTTTCAGTCAGATTCCGCATGGTACTTTCCCCTTAAGTTATCTCCAGTACACTTTATTTTTTTTTTAAAAGAGTAAAGAAAATAATTAATCTATTCAAATTTATCCTAGAAATGGATATTGATCTCATTACGATCATTCTCATAATTCATTCCATTATATATTATTTCATTAAATATAATTAATATACATATTTTCATACCTCTCTTTTCACCTTATAATATTCTTATAATAATCCTCATAATTCATTTCAATTAGATTCCATATATTAACTAATATACTGTATTTCTCTTATTTTCCCTTCTTTCACCTTTATTCATTTATATCTATATTTGATTTAACTGTTAGCAAACATTCAATTGATTAACACTACCAGTTTCATCTTCCACTTTAATAACATATATTTTCCTATTTTCTACATAGTTTATTATTTCTAATATATTTATACTATCCCTTGTCACCTTGCAGAATCCTCTCTCTTAATTTTTGTTTTGAACCATTGTCTCTGTGTCTTTTAAACAAACTATTTCTTTTTATTCTTGTTTGTTTCCCATGATTTTTTATTTCCTGATTATGTTTCTTGTAACTTCTTTTCCTCTTTATTTTCCCCCTCTTTTTCTCACACCAGTTTTTGTCCCCTTCCCTCTTTAACACTTCCTTCTGTAATCCTCCCTTCTGCTTCTTCCTTATATTTTGTTTATTTTTCGAACTGTTCTCTTTTCTAATTACCTCCTCTAATCTCCGATTTTTAATTTCCTTTCCCCCCCTCTTTTCAACACTCGTTGCCCGATTTGTTTGTTAAAGATGGTCTCTTCTTTATTCAGCTCTTCTTCTCCCTCTGGAACTCCTTGTTGTTCTTCATATTCTAAAACTGCCATTTCTAGAAATTGTAGAGCAAAGCCAAACCATTCCCCTCTCTCTTGCAGCTTTTCTTTCATATTTTTTAGTTCCATTTTCAGTTCCAGAAAAAGTTCTGCCATCTTTAAACACTTCTAAGCAATACTTTAAAGCAACCAAAGTCTAAAAATTACTTCCCACAGTTAATTTCAATTAGATTTTCTGACAATCCAATCTCCAAAATTTCAAAAATCACCAAATAATCCCAGAACAGTTTCTTCTTGCTTCTTTCTTTATTCCAAAGTTCAATGCACCACATTCACTTTCCGTGGGCTCTATTTTATTGTAGCAAGGATTTTTAAAGATCCTTTGAAAATTCACAATTCCTTTTACCACCAGGTGGCACTCTCTGCTATGTCCAAGATCCATCCTTTTTTTCCCCTCCGCTTTTTTTTCTTTAATGGCTTTTAAGTTTCAAAAATTCCTTATTTTCCCTTTGACACTTTCAAGTTCAGGTTTAAGTTTGCCTATTTAGTGTCGAGATTGTTTTCTACAAATATTTTCTTCAAGCTTCTCTTTCAACGTTCAAAGCCAGTTACAGCTGTCAGATCTTTTTTTCCCTTCTTCTCTGCTGCTGCTTTAAGAATCTTTCTTAAAAGTTCTTAGTTATTTTAGTTCCAGGGCACCTTGTATTTAGATGTTAGTTCTGCTTAGACGGGTCACTCAAGCTGTTCTCTTCTTCCCCGTTCCTGCACAGTCTTCTCCGATCAGATCTTCCTCTTCAGGGTGGGCATTTTGACCACCGCTACTGCCGTCTTCGGAGACGAGTAAATGCCAAGCCAAGGAGGGGAGATGTGCCTCCCCTTGACCCAGCTGGCAGTCTTCCACTTCTTCGCCACCTCTACAGGGTGGCTTTGGCCCCAGATCAAGTAGGTCAGGGCACTCTGATGGAAAGCACAAACCAAAACCGCGGACAATCGCAGTGTAAGGCATCCAGCTGTCACACGGATTTCAGTCTGTCACCAAGGAAGTCTAACCAGAAATCGGTTTATAAACGAACCTTTTGTTGGGCTTACTAGAAGTAAATGTTTTCTGAGAAAAACATTGTATAACGTGACCATAGGTAAGTGCAGATGGTCTGAAATGCCCCAAATGTGACTGTGGAGGCCATTGGAATTTTGAATCTGGTTAAAAAGTCCCTTTGGGAGGTTTGTCATAACTTCAAATGGTTGTTAAGTGACTGGTCATAAGCTTAGGACTACCTGTATGTGACTGGCAGGATTGTATATGATAACACCTCTAGCTATTCTGCACCATTTGAGACAAAATGTGGCCTATCTTATGTTCAAATGCTTTTAGGTATTCCAGTTAAATACAGACAGTTGGTAAGCGCATTGACAGTCCTAAGATGACTTTTTGTAGCATAAGTGTACTGATATCATTTTAAGGTAGTAATGCAGGTGATATTTGTGATATGTAAGGCAACAGTCATTATTTTTGGAACAGTTGTAGAGAGTAGCATTTACAGTGGTTGAATTATAAATTATTTTAAAATGTTACAATAATGAATAATTTGAGAGGAATATTAATATCAAACTGAAGATACTATTTTCTTTTTTTTTTTTACTTTAGCAAGGAAAATGTGACAAAATTCTCTTTGTTGAATATAATTAAATGGAATGTAATAGAAAGTGAAGTTTAGTCAGCTTGGTGTCTTACGCTCACTGCTAACACACTTGCATCAGTGATAGTATCGTTTTATTTGAAGTGTTCACTGTATAATCTACCAGAATTGTATTTGTAATAGACCAAAAACTCCAGCTGGTTTTGTGTACTCATTATCCTGGTTCACACTGTGCGCAAAATTAAAAGTTTCATCTTTAAAAAACAAACAAGTAATATGGTTCACTCTTCTTATTTTTGCATTTGTTTTCATATTCTGAGCAAAGCTATGTGTAATGCAACAGGACAGTTTCTGAAGAACATAGTTTTGTTAACAAACCAGGCATTTATTTGCCAGAATTGAATATTAGTATATCTGATTTGCAGTGCTGGTTTACCGGCCTGTTTTGGAGTGCTAGTAAACTGAGTTATTAGTTCCCAAATAAATCAGAGTGGTATTCGTTGTGTTCTAAATTGTCAGCAGTTTCAACAATCAAAGTACAGTAAGAAAAGAACAATAACTGTTTTTCCTCTAATAAACAGGAGATCAAGTATTTTGCCAAGTGTCAGGGAAGTAGTCAGATGCCCAGGTAATTGGTTCTTTTGGATCCAGAAACAATAAGCAGTAAATAAAGGGATTTTAATTTGTATTATTAGCTCAAGCAGATTTAAAACCATAACAAAAAGCATACATATCAAGTAAGATGATACCCAATTTTCCCTTGTATGGCTGCAACAGGTCAGAATGGGTATTTTTCCCCTTCAGCTGCTAAGAACTGAGTCTGTGTAAAAAGGCTTATTAGCCTAGGTCCGCCCACTCTGGGTTACTCCTCCCCAGTTCTACTCAGTCCTTGCCTGAAGAAGGACGCAACAATTGCCTCTCCTGCCTTTGGATACTTTATTTCCAAAGGTAGCCTTTGCAAGGGAAATTCTTTCTCACTACAGAAAAAAAGCCTTCCCCTTTAAATCAGACGGCTCCACTTCTCAGCTGGCTATTGTCCGTGCAGCCTGGGGGCCCTTTTCAGCCATTCAGGTGTGCGTGGGCGTCAGCCATGCTAGTTACAGAGCCTCGGGGCTGATCTCCCTCCGTTGAAGCAGGCAGCTGCGTGATCCAGCAGCTGCCTTTTGCAAGCTCTTCTGTCTCCTGCAGAGCAAGAGAGCTCCAGGGAGTTAACAGAAAACTCCCTGGTGAAAAAGAAACCTCGTGGCCATTTTGTTGAAGACCTTGTGGACGGTTGCCATTTTAAAGACCTCAGGCAGCCATTTTGAAGAGGCCTTTCTTCTTCCCATCACTCCTGTGCCTTTGTCACCACCAGTCTTGGCTGTTGCTGAGGAGGACATTGAAGGGTAGGCGCTCAATTTTCCTAAATTTCCCGGTGGAGAATTGGTTTCCTTATCCCGAGGTAGACCAGGGCTCTTGGGCTTCCAGCCGGGCCTGGTTTATAGTTATTGCCCTATTAGGCCCAGGTGTGTATGAGTCCCAGGAGGATGTGTTAAAACATCCTGCTGAAGTTGCATAGGGTAGAAGAGAGTGGTGGTTGGAGTGGAGATGATTTACCCTGAAGTCCCTTTATAAATCCCTTTGTGTGCTCTCCTTCTTGCACAGGACTTTCAGTCCAGAATAGGCCTTGCTGTTCCAAGATGGCTGAAGCCCCAAGGGAAACCAGAGCTTCTAAAGCTGTCAAGCCTCAAAAGGTGGCTCCTGCTGCTTCTACCAAAGGAAAGCAGCCTGTGAAGGCCTCAAAAGTGGAGGAGAAGGATACTTCTAGGTGCCATCAGGCCATATAGAGAAATAGATAGCCAAGGTGCATCAGGCCTCTACTCACTTAATGACTACAAGAGCTACTTCTCCAGCATCTCTCATCAGTGAAGTGGATTTGGAGGAGCCGGGACCTTCTTCTAGGCTCAGTATCCAGACTTGGTCCCCTGATGTGTCCAGGAGAGGCGCTTCTCCAATTACCCCTGAAGGAGGCAGTCAACTTAATGAACTTCAAGGAGAAGCTGTACCTTGGCAAGAGTGTGGGCGAAGTAGGCAGGGGGTGGAATCCTCCTTTCCTTCTACTGCTGCTGGGCCAGACCAGCTGAACCTTCTGAATCGGATGTCCCTGTCAAATTACAAATTCTGATCGACAAGGCCATCAGGAAGGGCATCTCAGAAGGCTTGCAGACAGCGACCCGACATTCTTCTGCAGCTTCTGATTTATCAGAGACGGTCCTGGGTTCGAGAAGCTCTCTTGTCAGAAAGAGGTTCCTTTATCCAGGATCCAGTTTCTGTGTTGGCTGAGGACTACGCTCCTGCTCACTCAGTGGCTCCATTCTTGTTGGGAGATCCTGACAAGCTGGAATCTGACATATCAGCAGATGAAGGCACCTCCTATGAAATTCCAGTATTCACAGGTTGCTTCAAACATACCTTGTTCAGTCCCTTGTTGAACAAGGTGAGGAACACGGCCAACCTGAAGGGCGCAGATGATGAGGTTGCTGCCTCTCTTCCTTCTGAGGAGTCTGATGTTCTCTTTGATGAGCCAGAAGTGAGGAAAGAAGTGGTCCCGTCTTCTCTACTGTTCCTGAAGGTAATTCGGAAACAGCTGGAACTTCCTGCCTTAGGGCCGAGTCCTCTGGCTTCCAATTGCAGGTTTTCCAAAGTGGGGCCTGAGCTCACAAAAACACTCCAAGTTCCCACAGTGGATGCTCCTGTGGCAGCTTTGGCCTCATCATCATCTGCCCTATTGGATCCAGAGGATGTCCTCAAGTCCGAGGAGAAGAGTGTGGAACAATTGCTTCAGAGATCCCACCTGGCAGCTGCCTGGGCAGTCAAGGCATCTACTGCAGCGTCGTTCTTCATCAGGACATCGCTCAAGTGGCTGAAGCAGTTGCGGGATTGAATTCCTTCATCAAATGTCCGAGCCCACCAGGACATCAATAAGATCATGGCAGCCATGAAAATCACAGCTGATGCCACCCTGCATGGGGCTAGGTTCTCCACAAAAGCCATTGCTTCCTCGGTGGTGGCCAGGCGCTTGTGTTGGCTGTGCAACTGGCAAGAGGATGCAGGAGGAAGTGGAAGTTGGTGTCTGCCCCTGTCCAAGGGGATAAGCTCTTTGGCGAGACCCTCGAGCCTTTCTTGGTGGAAACGAAGGATAAGCAAAAAATCCTTCCTTTGCTTCTTAAGAGGGCTGAGCATCGGGCTCTCCCATACTTCAAATGCCCTCAGTTCAGAGGGGAAACCAGTTCCAGTTTCAAACGGCCATCCAAGTCCTCCTACCAACCCCAGGAAACCCCTCCAGATTGTTCAGGCAAGGACAGGCAGCAGTTTTCTGCTACACGGCCCTTTCGAGGAGGAGGAAGTTGCCTGTACTGTCGCCAGCGCTAATGCGCAGTCTATTCCCACTGGTGACTGATTAGCATGGTAATGGGAGGGTATTACTTCTGATGCCTGGGTTTTGTCCACAGTTAAATCGGGTCTTTCTCTGGAATTCTATTCCACTCCTCCAAGGTCCTTTATCTCCTGCCCAGTATCTAGGGACGCAGGGGAAGGGGTGTGATGGAGTCGGCCATCCAGCATTTGCTGGACCTCAGGGCCATTCAAGAGGTTCCCCTACACCAACAGGGGACGGGGTTCTACTCCAGGATTTTTGTAATCCCCAAGACCTCAGGGGGTTGGGTGGAGGACAATTCTTGACCTGAAACGACTCAATATGTTGTGTACAGGTGTTTTAAGATGCACTCTCTTCCATTCTAGAGAGCATTCGGCAGAGGGACTTCCTCACATCCATTGACTTGACGGAAGCTTATTTCTTCATATTTCAGCCTTTGTTTACATGCACCGCTTAGCCAAAGTGGCATGGATTACAAGTAGATAGCATGTGCCGTGCAATGCACTTCGGTGCTTTTAATGACTCTGTGTACAGCTTTCCCCATCTTGATTCTTTGCAAATCTCTTGACCACTTTTTCCCCCAACCAATGTGTATTGATGAGAATTCTAGGCTTATCAGGGGACAAAGGTAGAAGAAAGCTATTATGCAAGTTGATTTGGTGGTTCTGTTTTCAAATGCTAATACTTGTCCCTTTTTAATCCCACCAGCCTTCACTGAATCCAATGGAACAGCAAGTATCTGATATAGTGCTTTTAAATCATTGGAGTGTTCGGAATTACGAAGTACAACATGGAGACATAGTTTCACTTGTGTAAGTAGCTTTAAGCAAATGTCAGCATGTCTTTGTTTTCTTCTTTATTGATGAATGACAGTTGTATGGTGATTACCATTGCTTTCTAGATGTCATGCCCCTGTTGGAATCTGATTCTGAGGGAGAGGCCGAGCAGCTGACAGGGAGTGGGACTGTGGCTCCGGTGGCTGTGAAAGAAACTGGGGAAGGGCAAAGTCCAGCTGGGCAGAGCAGGGGAGAGGTAGAACAAGGGAGAGGGAATTCGGAGGAAGACCCAGGCCCACCCACTCTTCATCCTAGGCGCACATAGGGAGGAATGGAGAAGAGAGCAATGTGAGTTGCATGGCTTATGGGGGAGGAAAGGGCCCTGATTCCCTTCATTAGCTGCAGCTGGGAACAGCAACCTGTGGGAAGCCAATTGTGACTTATCTTTTATTATCGAGGCTTTTCTGGGTTCCTGGCATCTTCCCAACTGTGTGTGTTTTTTTGGCCTTTGAAGTCGGCAATTCCTTATCCTGCCCTGTCCAGTTAATTGCTACAGTGTGGTTCGTGTGGATTTATTTACAGTTTATATGTACTTTGTTTTTGGACTGAATTTCCTCCACTTAAAGACTGTTATTGGGATAGTTTTTTCTTCAGCCGAAGGTAACTGGACATTGGGGGCAAAATTTGAGGTAGGGACTTTTTCTTACTTTTCTTACACTTAGACATCATAAGCATTTTCTTGTCGGTCAAGGTCATGTTGTTCGGCACCTGAAAGAGACGTAGTTGAAGAGATGTCTCAGGTTGGGACAGAATGTGATTGGGCCATGTGATGGACTGATGGGTGCAGGGGTTTGGTTTGTCTTTTTGAATTATTGAGGGAAAACCCAGAACTCTCAGATTTGGGTTTTTTTCCAGGTGTGCCAGTATACCTACTCTAATAAAAGGAACTTTTGCGAAAATGCCTGTCTCAGAGTTTTTGGTTGGAGCTGGGTTTTTCTAGAACGCTGACATTATTATTAAAATTTATTTAAAATACAGTAAAAATTACAAAAACTTTATTATCAAGGATGATTTATATCTGTTTCCCCCCACCCCTCCAATTTCCCTCTCTCTTAATCAGAAGACCAATTCTGAGAACTTTAAAATAAAGTTAAGCATTTTATCAGCAAACTTATTAAAACGATTCCAGTAATAACGTGGATTAAAAAGTAATTAAATGTTTAACACAAAAATAACTATTTACCATTTGCCTAGAAGACTCATGAATAATAGCAACTTAAATTCTAGGGAGCAATATTTATAACATAGGTGCTAACAGGAAAAGGAACATGTCCCATTCTGAATGCATTTTTAAACAAAGTGCTGTATGCTACCAGGTTTTGGGGATTTGAATGGAAAGGCAAATACTGAAACAAACACTTGAAAGAATAATGGTATTAACCCATTGATAAGTGTTTCTCAACTTAACAATATTAAGATATTAAGAACTGGGCAAATTCTAGTTTGGAAATTCTTAAGAGTTGAAGTCCAAACATCTATAATTGAAGGCTCAGTAATCCAGGTGATAATAAAGGATTTTAAAATAGATGAAAACATACTGATGACCAATGGAACAAGTGGAATAATTAGCTCAAAGTGCTGATTCTCTTGTATCTCCTGGTCTTTCAGATTTCATTCTAACTGTAGTTTTCAGTATTAAGGTAGCCAAGGAATGGGATTCAAATTTCTTAACAACTGGTTCTGTGGGCGTGGTCTAATTTGTGGGTGTGGCTTGGTGGTCACGTGACTGCCTGGGTGTAGTTTGTATGTAAATATTGTAAATATTTATATAAATATTGAATTTTTTATTAAAAAAGAGCAACTTTTACCCAAAATCAAGCAAAGCAGGCAGGCAGATTGAGTTGCTCAAAGAATCACAGATTCACTCAGAGATCTATCTTTCTGCAATCTGCTGCCTGAGTCTGTAATATAAAATTTGTTTGCAAGTAAACTCAAAATTTGCTAGCAAGTAAACTCACAAAATTAACTCACAACACACCCTGTATGTAAATATTGAATTTTTTATTAAAAAAGAGCAACTTTTACCCAAAATCAGGCAAAACAGGCAGGCAGACTGAGTTGCTCACAGAATCACAGATTCACTCAGAGATCTACCTTTCTGCAATTTGCTGCCTGATTCTGCACTGAAAAATAAAAGCTTCAGTTCTAAGGAAGGTTCAGCTCTGCTCTCAGGCCATTTATCTCCCCCCTCAAGCCCTCTGAATACCACAGGGCCTCTCAGGAAAGCCTCCTGGGTGAAGGCAAAGCAGTTCAACGGCAATTTAGATTAGCTAGCAAGCAAGAAATCCAACGGTTTCCTGCTTTATAGTTAATCTAAATCTCCCGGCACAGCTGATCGTTTGTGTGGGGGGGAGGAAAAATAGCAACTTACTCAAAATTAGGCGAAGGCACAATGCAGGCAAGTTGGATGGCACGCATGTCAGGTAAGGAGTGACTGGATGGGGAGGGGCCAGCCACTGGCGCAATTTGCCGGTTCTCCAAACTGCGCAGAATTGTAACAACCGGTTCTATAGAACCTGTCCGACCAGGTAGAATCCCACCCTTGAAGGTAGCCTTCTGCAAAATGAAAAATGAACTTCATAAATGTTTAAATAAATTGCAGAACATAGAAAAACATCCGAAACAAACACAATCTTGTTTTATTATACTGTATTAGAAGATTGGAAAGTACTGGCTGTGTATATAGAGATACATTTATAGCAAAAATCTGAGTTTTATTAACATCGCAATGTAATCTGATTTGACTAGATGTAATTATTATACATTTATGAACTGAGTAACAATAAGGGTGAATGAATAGAAGTAGAACTGATTTTAATCTTCTGTTCTTCCTGCAATGTTTTATATTTTTATTCTGTATCTTTCTCTTTGAAAAGACCTCATTGCCTTTATTAAAGTCTCAATATCTGCATTAATATTTATAATGTTAGAAATACAGAACTGAAACTTCTCTTGTGAGGAATATAAAATAATGCATTAATTCAGGAGAAGCTGAATGACTATTTACAAGAATTAAGAAACTGGAAAAGTATCCATCATAAGTGCAAAAAAAAATATGAGTCCTGTTTTATTAAAACTTATTACTCCCAATTGCAGCTAGACGCAGCTAGATTACTTAAGGGAGATGATAGTGAAGTCCTGTGTATAATAAATAATGTATGTTTGATGTGAGGACAATATAATAAAAACTGATAGTTTTTAGGTAATTCTTCATGGATTTCTGTATGCAGTTTAAACTTACAGTTACTCAACAAGTAGGTTCCTAAAGACAAGATGAGTGATAGAATTTCTTCTTTCATGATCATTGGATGCTCAATAGTTGTCTCTATAGAATCAAAATATTCTTCTCCATGCTGCATTGAGAGCCCAGGATGGGGTTGACTCCTTCCTATGACATCATTTAGCTGAGTCTGTACTACGATACAAAAGCCAGCCACCGGGAGAGACCCCAGCTTTTGACTCAGCTCCTTTCAGTCAGTAGCTGTGTCTCTGAAAGCGTTCTGTTAGATAGCAATCACCAGCAATCTTCAGTACTTTTTTTCCTCGCTTCAAGCAGCTCCCAGGGATCTGGGCAGCTGCTCTTCCAGGAGAGCAGGGCTCTCTCTCCTCCCCCATGCCCGCGGTTTGAGCGGTTGTAAAAAGCGATTGGCAAACCGATAACAGCGTCAGCCAGCTGATTGTGTGGCCAGAGGCTGCCCTTTCCTTTGCTGACTTCGCTCGGGGCTCTTTATAGCCTAAGGAGCGATTCTTCAGTCTCGGAACCTGTTTCCCTAGTCAGTGGCCATCTTGGATTGAAGCCTTCCACCACGAGTTGAGTGGCCATTTTGAAAGCCTGGGGGCCAATTTATACCCTAAGGGGCTTAATACAAAAAATTTCCAAACAGTTTCTTTCCATCGCAAGAGCCTTTATTCTACAAATGGACCAAGATAAGGCTCAGGTAGAGCTTTTCCCCCCAGTGGAACAGTCTCTTAAGCCCAATAAGAGAAAAAGACGTAGGCAACGTACCCATTCAGTCCAGAGGGAGGTGGCTGCTAAAATTAGAGCTAAGGCTCTAGCCCCTAAGAAGTCAACTCAGGCTGAGTTGAGGGCAGAGAAGCACAGACAAGCGGCCCTGGAAAGGCAGTTCAACACAACTATTCAACAGAAGTGAGTGCAACTACAGCATGTTTCAGAAGATACCCATGGGCCCCAGCCAAGCCCCCCCAGGGGAGGAGAAGTTATTTATGAGCCTTTCCATCCCCCATCCTCGTCTCCTGAGGCTTTTGCAGTACAATCTGATCCTCAGGATCTCAGCAGATCTGAGCCCTATTTCCAACAGGCTTCTGGACCCTATGCTCCTCCCCCTCCGTCCGGGCCTCGAACCTCTTCTCAATCTAGGCCTGAAGCTACTCCCACAGCAGCGGGCCTTCAGCCTTCTGCCTCTACCTTTGAGCATAGACCAGGGGATATCCAAGATGTTGTCTCATTGGCCATTAGGCAGGGATTGGCTGAAGGCTTCAAGCAAATTCTTCGACCTTTGGAAAGGGTTCAGGCCCTTCTCCCTTCTCAATGTATAAGTTCCTTGCCTCATCACCCTGATTTACACAGGCCCCAGGACCTCAGGGTCCATTCTTCTCTACCAGAATGGGAGGAGGTTGATGGGGAGGGAAGGGGTTCACCATCTGAACACAGTTGCTCCTCTTGTTCAGAGCGTGAAGAGGGCGAGATTTTTGACCAAAATCTTTCAGAGGAAGAGGATTCCCGCCCAAAGCAGACATCCTCTGCATTGGTCTTCAATCCTTCTTTTTTCAGGCCATTACTCAGCAAGGCCTTGGTCACTGCCAAGCTGTCACTGGAGGAAGTGGCTCCTGAGCCACGAGGGAATCTTGTTATGGCAACCACCATAGCCCAATGGGACAGATAGCATTTCCCATACAGGTCCAGATAACCTATCCTAAGAACACAGCCACTCGATCAGCATTCCCATTGAAAGCAT